TGTAGCTAGCCTTCTCCTATCGATCCCTCCCTCCCAACTCACTTGTATAATAAGACCAAGATTATTGACTACATGTTTACTTTGTACCCCGTTCTCATATAAATATACTGGTTCGATAAGAGTTTATCGAAAACTTACGTAAGCTTGTCAAATGCCCCTCCGAATTCTCTGATTGGAATTGTTGCATCTTCAAAACAGAAACCTGTTTCTTTCCTCGTGAGGCTCAGGGGCACAATTACCAACGCGAGTAGCAAGAGCGGATGCGGGAGAAAAAAGGTACTCCTACGAAAGCTTTCTTAGATTGCTGGTCCCCGAAGCTTCCGGCAGCGTCAACAATTTGTGTGGACACACCTACGACAAGTCTGTTTTGCTAACAGCAGGTCTCAGCTGGCTACAGTCGTCGACTGACACTCAATATACAGCGCGAGAGGGCATTGAGCCTAACTCCAAAAACGCACTATTGACTTCGACTGCGCTTTAATCCTCTGACGTTGACCAGTGTCAGCAAACTTTGATGCACAGAAACAGTGACCGGTCTTCTCCATATCCGTATTAGTGGCACCCAGCCACTCTGTGGTAATGACAACTGACCTTATTGAGAAACGCCATTAAGGAAACTTCAGCTATTCACTCAGTCCACGGCAAAAACAGTCATGAGGGCTGGGTGTCAACGAACAGCATTCCATCGTCGACTGCTGTTTGCTCAAGGCTCCTCCCAACCCCTATGATTGCGCGCTATCATATGCTGCTTGTCTGAGCTGCTGAGGAACGGCCCCGAAATTCGGACTGCGCCGTGACGTCAGATTAAAAAAAAAGGAGACCAAGCAAACACTAGCGCGCTTTAGACCAAGGCTTTGGGCATGACAGTTACAGCAATCGATTCCACATCTAGTCTTGCTGAATTCTACGCGGGAGACCGAAGCCGATACGTGTGAAACCAGAAACGCCATACTCACCACGAATAGTCTGATTCGCTCTTGAGTTTTTGTGACGTGCCTTAAATCAGTGATTGAAGGGCTGTCGAATTATGTGGCAATCCGGTCCCGTGCGAATCGGTGGATCAGACTAAAATGGTTTCTTCTTAAGGTAACCCTTGTAACAACCTTTTCGACAAGGGACCCTAGGTCCTCTCTCCTCCTCTATTCTTCACAACAGTCAGGTGACCGACTCGAACAATGGCTGGTTTCTGGGCCTGGGAATGGAGTGAAGTCGATGGCTCAGCACATATTTCTCACTATGAAAAATTGAACGCGCTTGAAATTATCACGATGCACTAAAACCTTGTAAGCTTACCAACTGAAGAGATTACTCAAACACCGCAGTCAGTCCAGTGTGTTTGTGTGTGAAGTGACCAACTGGTGGGCGTAAGCCACTGTCCCCGTGCCCCATGCTATGGGGCACACACTGGACCTCGCCGAAATTGACGGTCCCACTGCCGTATGACATGCACAACCGTCGGCTTCGCCCTGTCGCACACAACCACTTCCAGTCGCTCTGAGCTTTGTTAATGCGGAGAGCAAGAGTGACTTAGGTGGCGTGAATGTCTCATTCACAATGAACAACTTCAAGTGCAAGTCACGAGCGCCGTCCGGGTAGTGGTAGTTATC